GTTAATAGCGATAGAGCGAGTGATTAACATGTGGAGTATGGATGAGAACGAGCGAAAGCAGAAAGAGTGGTGAATAAAAGAGTAGCAAGGATTCAGAGGATGATTGAGGAAAGGAGAGGGAGAGGAGAACGTACCCAAATCATATCGAGGAGGGGACACGACGTCGGTAATATTGGAAATATGAAGGCCCATGAAGAGGCCAATATGGGCATGGATAAGGAACAGGTCTCGATGAATGAGAAAAAGTTACACAACAAAATGTATGAGAGGAAACGTATAAAAGAGAGTATCAAGAGGGAATGGCAAAGGGAATGGGAAAGAGGTACGACTGGGCGGCTGTTCTACAGATTTTGTAGAACAGTCGGGTATGAATCATTGAATCTGTCGCGAAGGGCGGTCCAGCTCTTCATGGGGTAGAGTTGATGTGTTAAGTTAGTACTGCTATTAGGAAATTAGTTGATGGAATATTTGTAAATACTCATATGAATTGTAAAATTTTGGGAAATGAAGAATATGGGTCTCCTACCCCGCTAATTCATCCCATCGCATTATCGGCGTTCTGCGTCGGTGATGCGGGGGGGAAAGTTTGAATGAGTAGGGGTTCCCTCGATAGTGGTGGCGCTAGACACAGGAAAGATGCCAGTTGAAAGGCCTCCAGGCCAGGACAGCATAGGCAATGGCATCATTCATGTCCATTCTCCTCACATTCCAAGTAACACTTCCGAGGTTAAGGCTTCGAGTTGCCTCATCCAATTCAGGCCGAGAGGCCTATAGTGCTCGCCGTTGACGGTGATGGCCTGGCCAACTTCGTTCTCAAAGGAATATGGACCGATGGCGCCGCCAACCCAAAATCCACACCAAACACTGACTTTTTCGGGATGTATTGAACACCCTTGGATGTTATGTGGATTGGTATCGTTCCAAATTAGACAATTTTGTTTGTTCTCGTACCCACTTATCCAGAAGATGATTTGTTGGAAAATTATTTTTCGATGAAGATTGGGAGTCAGTTGCCAACTACTCTAGATCCCATTCGGCGAACCGTGGACGTTCGGGTGTTGTTCGATCGTTTAAGGAACCAGTGGACTCAAATTCATCCATCACATTGCGAATGTGGTGGATGATTTTGATAAAACAGTTTTATTATTCGCACGTTGTTAAATGATGAATTAATGACAAATACTTTGACGGATGTAGCTTATTGATGTATTAGGAAACAGGATATAACGGAAGTGAAACAACTAAATCAGTCCATGTGAGCTTTTTTCTCAAAACTATTCAAAACTGAAACATATATACTTACATTTTGTGCATAAAGCTTTAGTTTCTAACAACTTGACTATACCACACAGTCCCCTACGACTGTGAGGAATATATCAGATAGACCAGAGCTTCGGAAACGATACACCGAAATATATCCTGTGGGGTCCAATAAAATCATTGGACTTATATATCTTCACGCTATACAGCTTTTCAGATGAGTTTTACACGTTGAATTTCTAGGAAGTGATAAATAAAGACCCCTCGCAGAGGTATGCGTTCAACGCATACTGACCTTGTCTTGAAGACAGAATTAATGTTTCCATCAAGCAATGTATGTGATAGCGGAAAGATTATGAAAAATAACTTGTATTGGGAATTCCGCGAAGTAATTGAGAGTCCTTGACAACCGATTGACTTTGCAGTCGCCATGGTTGGTGAGTGATTTCGGCGGATTTCTCCGGTCATCAAAGAAGTGAGGTAATATTTACACTTGTTGTTTTCGATGACTTGTTGTTTCTAGAAAATTCAATATAGAATCTTCCAGAGTACTACGAATACACATACAGTAGCTCACTAATGAGGCAAAGGTTACTCACTCATCCGATGTGGACGACCTCACACTGAATGTCAAAGAAAAAAGGGTCGATCAAGCAGCCATGAAGTTTATTCTTGTGGTGAGACAAACCCATTGTGAGGCATACGAGACAGTTATCAGGACTACTAAAGCCAAGAAATACCACATATTCAAATTATTTGTTTTTTGGAAATCAGGAATTAAATCTAATACTCCGACTTCAAAGTTAAAACGACGGCTTTGAAATCAAAATTTCGACTTCAATCTCCGAACTTCAACTTTGAACTCGAGACGGAAGTCAAAGGTTCGGGTATGGATTCAAAAATTTGATTCTGAAATCGAAATTGAAAAATTTAAGTCAAAATCCACAGTTGAAAGTATCAATTTCGTGTTTGAAGTCGGAAATTTTTCTACGATATCTATTGTAACACTATTTTCCAAGCTGATAGAACGACATCTCTAGAAGACCAAACGTCTTCTTTCCAAAAGAAGCCTTGATCATTTGAAATGAATTATTAAATTTACACCAAATTTATTTGTGGAAACGTTCGCAACGGAACGTGTCCATCTCTAGTGGGGATAGCTCACTATATCTTTTTTAGTGTTTGAAATAATGGTCATATATATAGTCAGCTATTATTAATCTTTCTGAAATAAGTATATTACTTACTTTAGGCATTTCAGCACCTTATAATTGTCCTTTGAACCATACAAATCAAGCCAATTACCAACAAAAATCATAAACAGTCTGAAAATTTTCGGCAAACAATTATTTCAATCTGAAAGGCAATTTCCTCAACTATGTGACAATTGAACTCTTTTTCGCAAAATTGATTGTTTAATATTCCGGTATTTTAATTTTTAACGATAATCCAATGTCATCTCTACACATAGACAGATTCCTTCATTATACATATGGAACTATTGTGATTCTAACTTAAAATCATTATTATTAATTAATAAATTGGGAGCAGGTTAAATGAAGAACAAATTCCATCAATCATTAACTACTTCTTTGCATTTTAAAAGAAAGCTCATGACCACATAATTGAAAAATAATTATAAAGACATGTTTCAATTTCCTGATGTTTTTGTCCTTGCTGGCTTACAACTTTTTTTGCCAACATAATATTATAAATTTCAGTTCTCTTGAATATTTGTTTATATCAATAAGCAATATTATAATGACTGTTATTGATGGTTCCATTAATAGCTATTTTCCATGACGTCAATGCAAATTGGCACGTTCTACTCTGAATCTACAGTTTCTCATTTGTTATTGCTTTCAGTTTGACTAAAGTTGTTTTTTAAAATTAACTGCTTAGGCTGGTTCAGCTTGAAGGTGTCTGACAATGTTGAAGTTATCCTCTTTCACTGACAATAAATCTTTCCGTTGAGAAACTTGTCCATTTGCATCGTTTAACTTATTTTCAACTCACTGCAAAATCAGTAAATCCATATTATCAACTTTATGAAATATACAGAGACCAGTAAAGTCTGAATTATATGAGACTAGTTGTTGCCCGCGGTTTCGCCCGCATAGAATTTGGTTTGTCACATTAAGTTTCGTGACAGACCATTTTAAACAAAAAGTTGCAGTATTTTTTTATCAATCTAAAACTTCAGGTTTCCAACTTCAAAACTAACGAAATTCAATACAATCTCTGAACCCCTATTTTCCCCCTTGAGGGTGGAAATTCCTGTTTTTCTTCCTTGATGCTCAATCACGCTATACAAAGAACCTACCTGCATATTTCATGATTCTAGGTTCAGTAGCATCGGTTGTACATCAATATGAGACTGGACAACAGCTAGTAATTCAAATTTTTACTTCAAAAATACAGTAACTGAATAAATATGCCAACTGTACTGAAAATGTTCTTTTATCATTAATTCACACTTAATTTCGCCGATTTTGATTAAACTACTTGCGTTCGTTATGGGTAACAAGGGCTTTCTTTTCATGAAGCTTAATATTATTCAAAATAGATAAACTTATGTCATGAGTTACTTAAACTTTTCTGAGTTCAACACGTAATCAAATGGAAAAAATATTATGAAATCCATGTCTCAGTAACACCAAAAATATCTATGTTTTCTCTAAAAATATAATCATTCAGTTGATCGAACCTAGTGAGCAGGGATCTCACATTCAAGTGGACAAAACTGAAAGCTTCAGCCATTGAATTTTGATTCAGTAGTAAACAAAAGACTTTGTGGTTAATAATAAGTGGGAAAATAATATAATAAATCGATACAAATGTTAGAAAAAAAACGATGAAAAAGCACTAACAAACGCTTATTTATCTTGTTTAAGGGAATTAGTCCGGGTGCAATGGATATATGATTTTTTTTCATGAAATATGACAAATAATCAACACCTGAAGTTAATGACATCATTCAAGATACCCCTTGTATATCACAATAAAATAATGTAGAGGGCAACCTTGTCCTGGTAAAATCTACTACACATTCTTCTCTGTGTGGAAATTTAAATTATCGAAGGATATGTTTTAACAATTGTTTAGATTTCACAAACAGAACCCTTTTATCAGCGTTGTGGTGCATTAAAAAAAACTTATGTTGAGAGACAGAACACAAAAAGATTCTATGGACGAAAGGAACTGGGAATAACCGCCTTCAACGTAAAATTCAACTACTCATTCATGTATACCAACTGGTAAATTGTCACCCCAATATCCACATCTGATATTACCTAATAATCATTGAATCAACAAATGTGAAGAAAAAAATTGGAATGATTATCGATCTACAGAAAGATATTCTATGATCTGACTGAAATATCCCTTATAGGCTGTAGGATAAGGAAGCCTCGAAAAAGCCCCCACGGAGCCTCAAAAAACCTGAAAACTAACACTTTGTGTGATTCGTTTCCGGCTCAGTTATATCAAACATTAAAAAAACAACACCATAAAAAAAACGAACGTCATTTCAAAGAACTGCGTTAGAATGAAATTTCAAATAACAAAATGATAGAGAAACAACTACAATTACCCATTTCCGATAGTAAACAAATTCACATGGGTGTCTACAATCTGACGCAAAATCCCCGTTTCTCAATTAAATTGGCATTGGCCTTGAGGCTATCAATCGCGACATCATTCGGTATAAAAGCAACCTCGGCCCGATCCTCCAGTTCAGAATATAGAGCGTGTTTGAGTTGATCGGTGAAAGAAGTTATAAGTGTTTATTTTACAAAATGTACACAAATCCGTTCAGTCGAACGCACAGCAACGTGCGTCAAGTTATTGATCGCTTTCTTTCAATCGTGAGTGACAAGAAGTCTAAAAATGGGCTGAAGAGGAATGGTTCAGTTACATCTTCGTCGTCATCTAGCAGCAGTAGTTCTTCAAACCTCAAAATGAATTACCCCTTTGGCAGTGATAGGAAACTAGTTCACTTTGATAAATGAACATATTTGTGCCAATTTGGATAAAATCCAGTATTCAAATGTCATGGATTTCTATTTACAATTTGGTAAGTACCAATTCATTCAAGGTCGAAACTTTGATGTGGAATATTGACCACTGGAATTCAATATTAAACAAAGACAGGTTTGAATTGAAAGGTTATCTACTTCCCATATCTATACATGAAAGGTGCGAATTTTCCAAAGGCAGAAACGAAGCAATCAATTTCAAATTACACTATTTACAAACATGTGTAGATCGTGCAAAGAAGTAACTTTTAGACAAACACTGAAAAAAGCCCTCACGAAACAGCTACCTTCATACAATGCATGTCTTAAATGCCGCCCTTTAATTTTTTGAACGGGACAACTCAAAAAACTGAAATTTGGGATGATAAAATTAATGCATGAATACTTTATTTTGAAGTGAAATTGACAGATGAAACTTTCAAGATGGCGACTGGGCGTCATCTGGGAAAAAAATCAAATGGAAAGGGGGGTCTTGTGACCAATAATTTTGAAGCTCCTGACGGATACTTCACAACCCTAGAATATGAAGTCAATATCTTCACCTACTACAAAATGGCGAAACATTTAGTAATTTTCTGAAGACAAACACATTAATATCGATATTTCTGAAAATATTCCTTTCTATCTGCCATATAGCAATTTCAACAACACGATAAGGTTTGTTAAGTCATTTTTTGTTTTTAAAAACATCTAAAAATGCCAGTACGGCAATGAACATCATTGTTCAGTTAGAATATTCTCATTTCTCTATACATGGATGTGTAGATCATGCAAAGAAGTAACTTTCAGACACAAACTGAAAGAAAGTCCTCCTGAAACAGCTACTTTCCTATAAACATTGAATTATACGAAAGAAAAAATTCCTTTGAAACAAATACTTCTTTATGAACACTGAATTATACAGAAGATACTTTTCTCTACTCAGTTTGTATTTCAAACATTCGTTGTGGAATAAAAATCAGATATCATTCACATGAGTTCTACTTTAAATGAATGGTTACAAATTGCACTTACATAGAACACTGCCATCCTCACACTGCCATACACCGATGTTTCGCCTTAAGACACTTGCCCTAAGGCTCTTCAGTACCAAATTGGATAACATTATAGAAAATACACACACTTTCTTTCAGTTTGTGTCTGAAAGATACTTCTTTGCATGATCTACACATCCATGTATAGAGTTACTTCCTTCCTTTCTTTGGAAGACTCCTTCATCCTTTTTTTTTGTATCAAGATGGAATAGTAGAAAGCCAGAAACTTCCTTTCCCAAAAATTAATCACTCCTAAAAATATAACCCCTTCAATTCAAACGAAATAAATATACTTTCAAAACAAATGATTTTATATGAACCCTGAATTACACAAAAACACTTTTCCCTATTCAGTTCGTATTCCAAACACCCGTTATTAAATTGAATCAGATATAATTCACAGGACTCCTAAACAAATAGCATGGAACACTGTTATCCTCAACGGCGATCATTCGATGTTTCGGAATGAAAAACACTTGCATTGTTGCCTCTTCAGCACCACTTTAGATAACATTATAAAATGAACCACTCAATTCATTCATGAAATTACGAATTTATGTCACGAATGAGTTGAATTTACCCATGTCTAAATGTGGAAAAGTGAAAAGCCAAATCCTTCCGTTCCCAATAAAGGCAAATTATCTGAAATATGATATTAATCATTTGGATTCATATATCGAGAACTTCATTTCATTTATAGGGATCCCTTAACGAACTCTGATTTTCATTCCGTTCCAATATTGCTCATGTGCCTAGTATTTTTGTCTTCATCACGATTACTTGAGCTACTTTTTCCAGTTTTCGATACATCTATGCTTTTCAAAATCATGCTCATACATTCTTTCAGTCTTTTTCCAAAAGAATTGAGGAAGTCAATGTTTTTCACAAACTGAATTTGAAAATATCTTGTTCGATTCTGTCATATCCAACGAACCATCAAAGTTATGTCATAAATATTCAATGAAAATTGTCACCACTACCTAAAGTTGCCTTCAAAAGACATTTTTTGTGGACGTTAGGTTAGGTTAGGTTCAACCGCGACCCGCAAGGGCTTATTGTGGGTCACACCTCTTCAATCTCGACCAAATAAACCCAGCTTCTCAACGAAGTCGAATAGTTTGTATGGTGAGTGGTCTTTCAGGTCAGATAGTAAGAATATGGCTCTACCGAACTCTAAAAACCTGATTCGGTCCCCAGCGGGGCAGGCACAAAGTATGTGCTCTGTTCTTTCATCATTTTCCAAACAGAGGCGACACACACTGTCTTCAGACAGTCCGAATCTCTGTACATGATGAATCAAATGACAATGACCTGTAAGAAAGTCTGTTAGACATCGTAATTCATCCCTAATGTAGTCCAACAACTTTTTGGTATCAATCTTCGAAGGATGAGCCAATCCTGGAAGATTCTGCCAGAATTCCATAAATCTTTTTGCCATCCAGGTATTCAAAGTTTGTTTGGCAAAGCCTAAAGGGATGCCAATGACAGGTACTGGTTCGATGAAGCTGCTTACAGCACCCTCCTTTGCGAGGTAGTTAGTAGCCTCGTTGCATTCCAAGCCAGTATGATAAAAAATCCAGACCAGAGACAATCTATCTCAAGAAGAGTCGTTTTTGGCAATTTGCTACCAATTTAGACGTTGCTCGGCAGGAGCCAAGAGCTTTCAATGCCGCTTGACTGTTCGGGAATTCTTTTATTGACTTTTGAATAAGGTTGGATTCTTAATATTTTCTCCTCTCGGAGGATCCAGTCCTTTCTACTCGGAAACAGTACTTCATAAGACAGTTCGTAGTTGACAGTTAGAGGCATAAAGTCATAGGTCATTTCCAGAACGCTGTGGCTTCCAGTGTCAACCAGCAGTCTGTTGCAATCTGCATTGAATTGTGCATGTGCACAAGTCTATATGCAGTCCACCTAGCCTCACCCTCATGGAAATGTGGAGAGGAGGTAGATCTAGAAAAAACCCCAGTGTCTCTGACGGTGTGGTACTGATGACACCACTGATGGTCAAGACAAGTCTGTCTATGTAAGCCGGAAAGCTTCACCTGAGCCGTTTTCTGTAAAATCTTCGGCCACCAGTCAATCCACTGGATTTTTTTGGGAATTGAACCCCAAGTTTCACCACAAATCCTTAGACATGTCCATAGCGACAGTCTGGCTTTGTATAAAAATGTTCCCAGTTCCAGGTGAGTTTTTTATCCAGGACAATGCCAAGATATTCTACCTCCGTTCCAAATGGAATAACCTCACTATTGAGAGGAAGTGGCATGTGGGGGACACAATATTTATTAGTGTTTTTTTGATTTTATAACCTATCACAATTTATTTTGAGTGGTTGATGATTCGGGCAACAACCCTTTTCCATTTCCGAAACCTGATAATCTCTCCCCAAACTGTAATAGCCCTAATTTTTTTGTTATTTCCACTAAATAGGTGTCAGTTTTAACAAAATATCAATGTTTTTTTTTTATTTGCAGTAACTGGTGATCCCTGTCCAGAGAACAAATAGAGGCATAGGTTTCCGATGTAGAAGAAAATCAACTACTCAATAAAAAGAAACTGCAACTATGGTTACAAAACAAGGATTCCAATAGAAATGGGATTTTCTGATTATTAATAGAAATGTAGTAAACTCTAAGTGTTCCAGCTCACACTTTCAACTAGACTAGAGTAATACAATGATCCAATGTGAACATAAGGATAATAAAATTTGAACAATGAATTACATTTGAATTTCATTTCTTTCTGTGTAGTTCCTGATGTCCCCAAGCTTTTTGAAGAACTCTATACAATTATTGTGTTATCAATTTGAAAATAAAATGAATCATGTCATGCGATTGTGATTAGTTTTTGAAACTTAGATACACACAACAAGAAACAACTCGGTTTCTTTGTGTGAAAACCTAAAAATCATTAAGTTCCGAAAATTATACTCAAAAACAGGTCAAGTACAATCAATTGCTGTGAAACTCTGTAAAATCTGTTCATACATCAACTTTTTCATCCTATTTATGGATTGAGAGAATTAATCATAGGAGAATTCATTGAAAGACATAATCTAGTATCTTATATCAAGAAAATATTCAAAGACCAAATACTTTCGATCCCAATTTGATATTACTGAAAAACTTTTGTTATAAAAACAGTCGTTTTGTCGCCATCGTTTCGGATTTCATTAAATTCTTCATCGGAGCTCGTAACAATCGGTTTTCATGAAATTCCTCTCACGAATCATATCTGTTCATGACAATCAATGATTAATTTTCCATTTTTATAACATTCAAATGAATACAGTCAAAAAGAGATAAGTTTTGTGGGAGGTATATCATGAAAACTCTTTGCTACAGAGCACAGAGGAAAATTTCAAGTGAATTTGAAACATTTTCAAACCCAACATTTTTGGAAATAAATCATTAGATCAATAGAAAAATTTAGAAAATACAACTGAGTGGATTCTCAAGACGGGACGTAATATTTTTAGTAATTTGATTAATTCTGAGTGAGTGTTTGGAGAAAAAAAAGGTACCTCCGGATTATGTCATTCGCCCCCTGATTATGTCATTTACCGAAGTGTGAAATTTACTCTACATGTAACTTATAAAAATCCCAAATATAACTTTACCTGAATGTGTGTTATAATATCACTTACAAGCAGCTGGAACTGCTTCTGTGACTTTTTGTTTATTTGTCAATTACATGTGTTACATTCATCTGTAAGATTTTATTTTATTATGTAAAAAACATTTGTTTACCGAAGTATGCGCTGGTCAGACCCTATCCCCCGAAGCCCCGGTACATTCGGAGGGCTCGCCAGCATTATCAACCAATGGCCACTCCCCACACCGTCAGGTAAGTGATCATTGGCTCAGAGAAGTATGTGTCCTTAGCAAGCGCAGTGAGCCAAGAATGACAGCCTTCTGCATCTGTCCGGCTAAGATTTCTGCCTTAGTGCGGCAAGCCGGTATGATTTTAAGATTCGAGAGTAGAGAGGACATCATTTCACCAAGGACTCCAATAATCAGAACAACTATCTTGACAGAGTGGTCTGAATAGAGTCTGCGGAGTTCGAAGAAAAAATCTCGATATTTTATTCGCTTCTCCTCTTCTTTTCTGACGATATTCGTCTCGCCAGAAGCTGAAAACTCCACGACAAATATCGTTTTAGTCTGGTGGTCGAGAAGGACTACATCAGGCTTATTAGCTTGTATGAGGCTGAGGGTGGGGAACGAATAGTTCCAATAAAATCGGCACTTCTCGTTCCCCACAACGGATTCAATATCCCCCGGAGCGTAGGGCAACACCGGTGTCTCGTCAATACCGTAAGAGTGTCGTAGACGGTAATATAGCACTCCAAATGGCCGTGTTATATCGATGGATATAGGTCGAGACCGCATATGCTGGACATACTGATAGCAAGTGTATTAGGGTTGTAACGGTTTAAATTTCTGAATTCAGAAGAATCAGTAGAGCAGCCCTGTAGGCTCGTTATTTTATCAGCATATTGCTGGGATAGTTGGTTGTCTAGTGAACAGGAGTAAATAAAACTGAGGAGATTTTTACGGTCAGGATTTGAGAACGATTCAGATTAGTATATATCGTAAAGCCGACGCGAAATCAAAGCTTTAGCTAGGGACCGTCCGAAACCTAAAAACAAATAAGGTCAGTCAAATCAGTCAATTCAATATTTTCGTTGCCCATTCTTGAAATATCGGTAGAGAATTCCATAACACATGTTTTCAGGTTTTTTTGGACAAGAATAATAAGATCACCTATGAAAGATTCACGTCAAGCACTGTCAGACCTTTTATTCATTTTTTTTGTGGTAAAAAAAGCTTTCAAGGCATATTTATCTGGTAATAAGATGAATTCTTCGGAAAAGTTATAGTTGCATCATATATATCATTCTTTGAGATATGAGGAGACACTTTAGAAAGTACCAACGGAGAACCGTAGCAAGTATATAAGAAAAAATATCAAAAATGATGATAACCCTTGAGTAGAAGCCCTGATATTGTTGATATATTTTGGAGCGGTCTGAGTACAGAAATCTACAGTTCATTCCGAAAATCAGAGGATAGTTTTAAGCATTTTCCTTTTCTCTGTGCACCTAAGACAGATGTTGACGGGGGTAATAATTATCGAGTTTAATTGAAGTTAATCGAAAAGTAAATTCTGTATAAATTAAGATTCAGACAGTTACTTTCAACTGCTCATTTGTTCCCTCATTTTCAATTTACGTAAAGGTCTATCTCTGTAAGTTCAATACTCGAATCTGTTGATTCGATATTGTTCCGAAGTAAGAGTTCTCCAGCAGTAATATCGTGATCAAAACGGCCTGCCTATAGCGGCGTATTAATATCTTTACTGTGAACGTTTTTTTGTATTGAGTATTGGTTCTTTAAACTTGATGTACATATATTTGCCTGTTTTTTCACATTAGTTCGTTGCAAATAACATGTGAAAATCAATTAATGAGTCATTACACAGTTGGTAGTGACGTTTGTAAATATTTATTTGTATATATCAATTTAATATAAAATTTAAAGCTTGGAGCTTCGTTGTTGACTTTTAGGTTATTTCTCCAATCCCTTCCCTGTTGAATCCGTTCAACTGGCGCCCCAGGACTTACTTTTTTTTCACCTATTTCGACTGTAAAAAAAACATATTTTGCTTACCCACGTCCAGCCCCGACAATAAACGACTAGCCTGTGCCGAACTGCCTTTTGGTAATTACATAAATACCAAGGTAGGTCATAGGGTCTCGAGCGCCTCGCGGCAGGCCCTGCACCTTGTGTCAGGGACCTCTATTCCCATCACGCGATTGCAGTAGACTAAGGTGTTGAAGACACCATGATGAACCCCTCAGTTTCCGACTTCAGCCCCCTCGACCTGAGGAAAGCGAAGGTCAGGCGCTTTGATAAGCTAAGGTCTCCAATGTTATTGAAGAAGACCCCATGCATTGGCTCATCCTTGTGTTTCCTCAGAAGTGAGGTTATCTCTGCGGCTTTTATATGAGCTTTTTGCTGAACGGGTTCCAACTCGGTGACATAGTTGTAATCACCTCGTTCAGTTTCGAAAACTATACCGAGTTCATCAGCTGCTCGGGTAACTGCCCTGAAGAGAAATGCTCCAATTCCTGCTCTCTCATGGTCACGGACCATGCAGAGAAGATGATCCGAACTCCTGACGACTTTACAGGCTGTATCCAGAACCATTCTGTCATGTAGACACTCCAAACTCAAAAGTCAACGGCCTCCCTGTTGTCGGGGGAAGAACAACCGTGGAACGGACGATTTGGGATGCAAACTCCTATAGAGAGTATGCAAATTAACATTATTATTATCAATTCGAAGTATAACTTGTCTATTACCCTCTGCAGGAGTATGCAATATCCTTCTGTATATCAACTAGCAAAATCCTTTCTGAGAGTAATTTTTCAGTATCAGTGTGAAATATTCCTCACAATATTGGATTTTCTTGGCATATTGACATTTTCTCTCAATACAACAGAAGAAAAAAGACATTCGAACTTTTTTTAATGTGTTTTCTTCACTTCCTGTGAATTCCATTGTGTAGGGCACGATGTAAAAGACAAACATTCAATAAGATGAGTTCTAAGACTCACTGTATCACATATATCGAAGCTAACATGTTGATGCAAAAATTTTCAAGTAGTTTTAGAAAGTAATTAGGATTATTGAAATGTTATTGGGGTTAAACGTAGTCAATGTGTCTTCAATTACACTCAATTACACCAAATATGAAACAAGGAATTCAAATTACGAAAGCAAAAAACGTCATTCAACTCTAGCGAAGTTTCTATTAGAACCTAACAACGACATTAAAACATTAATTCGACACTCTAATGATAGCCAAAGTTAATTTGCATCGATTTTCAATGAACTAGACGCAAAGCACACTATTTCTTTTAAACTTTGACATTGGCCTTGCGGCAACGAGTCTTTGACGTCACGTTTTGGTATAAAAGCGACCCATCCCCACGAGCAGAACCATAACAGAAATCATATTCGTGTTGTTTGGTGACAAAGTTCGAACTTTAAAAATATATACAATGTACACAAATCCATTCAGCCGAACTCACAGCCAAGTGAGACAAGTTATTGATCGTTTCCTGCTCATCGTCAGTGACAAAAAGAGTGATAACTGCGGGTTGAAGAGGAACAGTTCTGTTAAATCTTCAACCTCTTCCTCTAGCACCAGTTCCTCAATCGGCAGATCTCGAAGTTCTTCTACCAACGTCCGGAAGCTTGATCAGTTCAACAAATGAAGGATGGTTTCGCCTTGCCTTGGATTTGTTGACATTCTAATTGGGTGTGTTTCAAATGGTGAGTTTTCGAAGTTAATTTATCATTTGGAAAATAATCAATAACCCATTGCGATAACAAACAATAGTTTTTTCTCACAATGCACACAATCATTCTGAATTCCTTTTATTGTTATAAAAAAAGAATCAATCTTTCACCTCCTCTTTGTACCAACAAGAATTTTTTTCGTCTTGAGTTTTCTAAAAAAAATTCAGTTTTCTCTTCTTTTTGGACTATTGAACATTTCTAGATTGATGAATGAGAAATAATTGAAATTCAAAATTTGACCCTTCAAGCTCCCTTATTCCTTTTGACGTGCAACGTCAAAATCCTAGTATGAATATCAAGAAAATATGTGAGTTTCAATTAATATCTATTTATATCTCAAATGAATATTTCAGAATAAAAATAAATTTTTGCCAATAAATATTTTCTATTCTTTCCAATCGGTTAATCGCTGCAAAACCTCATAGACCCTATCTAGCCTTCAACTGTTCTAAAGATTTTATGCATTGGGGAATATGATGAACTTCATACATACATAGAAAACTGACCATTTCATTTTTTATTTCAGAAACTATCGAATGACATTCCACGGGCTGTTGGATGACTCGAAAATATCAACAAGTAATTCTGATACTGCAGAAAATCCTCCTAGAAGTGGGAATGCAAGAAAAACAGAAAACCTCGATATGTTTCTTTGAGGTGTTCTACTACTGTTTACTGTACAAACTAGAACAGAAACTTGATTTTGTAGTACAATTTCTAACTGTTTTGAATAAAGCATAAAAAAAACTGATGAACCAGACAAATTTTTATACTCTTAAAAAGCAATTATCTTTATTTTGAAATGTATGCATCAACAAGCAATAATTATTTTCGAATTATCTCAAGTATCCTAAATTGGAAATGGTCAAATTAAAAATATAGTAGATATTGACAGGTCGACCTCAATTAATATCAAAAACTTGGAAATCATGTGTTAGGTTAATTTACCGTTCATCAAATGATATGATGTTTTTTTCAATAGTGAAGTCTAAACAATTTTGTTACTCAACAGAACAAAAAAAAATTATTTCAAGAGTTGTCCGTTATCGTTTATTTTCGACAGATATGTTTTATAGCACAGTCAAAGTAGGTTAAATATGTTGTTTGTTATATGGCAACATCAACATTTGAGGCTGTATAGTTGGGACTACAAAATTGGGATTACAAATCATTACTTTTTTTTTCGAAAAATAAATGAAAACTGATTTCAAATAGTTATCTGAGCAATTTTCTTTATTCTTTGCTTCAAATGTATCTGAAACAGCGAAGACAAAAAAGAACTGCATTCTTTTTATATCCTATATACTATACTATAAACTGACGTTTGTTTAAGAAAATAGCCAAGTGATTGAAACTTTGCACCAGTCATGTTGAAATTTTTATAGCACATTTTTAATTTCTCTCTAAAAATGTCCGTATAAGTAAAAATTTATCAGAAAAGTTCAACTCTATGATGAGTTTGTTATGTATACATGAATTGATGACAATTAACCGAACTTGTTTTTTAAAATAAAGGGGATATCTGTCAAAAATAAGCAAAACGTTAACTTTATCCTAGTTGCATAAAATTTGGCATATGAATATAAAATTGCCGTAGACACAACTTTTTGTTAAATTCGTTCTAGAAATGCACTTTTTAATTTTTTTCAAAAATAAAGATGAATTTGACTAACACTGAACGTCAGTGGGTCGCAGTTGGCCGCATCATTTCAAGTTAAATTCAAAGCACAAACAAGTGCTTTGAATTCAACTTGAAATGATGCGGCATATGGATATAAAATTGCCGTAGACACAACTCTTCCAAGTAACTTTTTGTTAAATTCTTTCTAGAAATGCACTTTTTCAATTTCTTTCAAAAATAAAGATGAATTTGACTAACACTGAACGTCAGTGGGTCGCAGTTGGCCGCATCATTTCAAGTTTAATTCAAAGCACAAACAAGTGCCGAAGTTGAACTTCATTGAAACTTTTCGAAATAAAAGTTTCTCATATGGTGCGCACTTTAATGGTGACACTGTATGTATCTCTCTTCGATACTGTCTTAGGACACGATTTACATAATTGAATCATAATTTAAATAATTTTCATTGACATAAGAAATAATATTTGATAAAAGTCACGTTGCATCAAATGTGGTATATTATCTGGGGTCAACGCTTGTTAGATTATCCAACAGGATGTCACTAAAGATAACAACGTATGTTATGGATTTATATGTGTTATAATATACAAGAATATTTGGAAAATTCAATTTTAGAATCATATCATGTGTGACTATCTGAACAAGTCATTATCTATCACGTTTCAATATTATTCCACACAACATAAGACGACATTGACCCCTAAATGTCCTAAAAGTTCTCGTTTCGAATTTCCTGAATTTCTAATAATGTTTCATGCCAACCCTACTCACATGTACAAAAATTGCGTTTATGGTATTGTACAGTACATTTCCTGGTGGAGCCAACTTGATTGGTGAGACGCGCGACGAAAAGAGTTTGACAGTTCTAGTGAGTGGTAGATGAGATTTCGAAAGTTAATGTTTCAATCTGTTTACATTCGGTCATTTTTGTTAATTTTTCCAACCTATTTTCTTGGCGAGAACTCATTTATATCAACAAAAACACACTTCAAGTATGTTTTTATATTTCAGTTATTACTCAATTGAAAAACAGTCTTGGTTATATGTTTAACAGGATTTGCATACATACAACAGAAAATTGTCTTTTTGATAAGTGCAAATAGAGACGACTTTCTCTAGCGAGAGTTGCAAACAGAATTAATGAAATATGATTCGAAATGATGTGCATCGCTCTGCAAGTCCAGGAAAGCGTTTCAATGAGAACTGCAAACCGTGGGAATGGTTGTTTCATAGCTGCTTCCTCACCAAATTCTAAGGATGATGCAGTCATTTTTGTCTGGAAGGGACCATTTCAATTTCCAGGATATTTTCCCTTTTCTTTGTCTTTGCCATTTAGGTATGTTACCTTTGTCTTTCTTCTTTGTGATCAGTTCCTTCAAAATCAGTACCAAAATGATAGATTCAAACATGCTTCCGAAAATTAACGTATTATCGGCAAAATCGATCCTACCAGCTGCGCCAATTGGATACTCAGAAAAAAGTGACCCCCTGATAAGTATTCATTTCTTGAAAGTACAAATACTTTTTCTTACGAAAGTACGAGTATGGTGTATGGGAAATTGAGCTCTATTTGAAAGGTTTCATTAAGAGACGATTATAGTCTGCTATGATCCTCAACTGAAGATTGTCTTATTTTTGTCAGCATATCTCATTTGTTGAATATCACCATCCAATTGTTTCATAACTCTGCACCACTTCTATCAATAATAATAGCTTTGTTCCATAATACTTCACAGTGTGGAACAGGGTAGAAATTGGAAAAAAAGTCAATCGCAGAAATAAGAAACGCAATAAAATGTTTTCTATATCAAATATTATTTGAATTTGTCCTTGAACTTGTATTTGGAGTCGTCTAAATTCTAAATATGATCAAATTCAGTTTGAAATTATGTATGAACTCTCTTGAATAGAAAAATTGATCAATCAGATTGAAAGAAACCATGCTCAACAAGCGAGTCACAAACGTTAGTAACTGAAACTGTAAATAAAAATGCAGTTGACTGTAAAAAATGTATTAGTGGTACCTACATACATGCAAGCTTGTATGTATGTGTATCTATAGTGTCTTTCACAGATATATTCGATAACGAAATGCAAAGATTCTACCTAATGATTATGAAAGATTTCAGGAATTCACAATTTAATACCAAAATTAAACTTGACAGGTCCACTGCTTTTCAACATGGCCGACATAGCGACGCGAAGTATATGCGCGTACTTTTCCCGCCCAAGGGAGTGCCCGTGCTGATTGTTAGGTATGCTGTAGTTCTGTTTCATTTGTACTTTGTAGGGTTTATCAAACACAAACCTGGGTTAAATTGCATCACTGGTTGTCTGTAGCAGAGGTTGCGTAGTAAACGCTCCTCGACATAGGCCCAGGCGTGCGCAATCGTATCATGGTTATTAACGCAACCTCCTTCACGTACAGGTCCAGAGGGGTCAGATCCGTCATTAATTCCCGCGGTTGGTGTTGTTCTCATGGCTCCTGTGATGTTTAAACAAGCCATTCGCTGTATTTTATATAATTTTTGCGTGGCCCTTGCTTGTAGAACTTTCGGTTCCCATGGAATGGCTCCGTACGTTAACATAGGTCTTATTATATGTGATCGTCTAGTGGTTAGGACCCCACGTTGTGTTATTGGTGTTTTCGCCACATCGATCCTACCGACTGCGCCAGTTAAATACTCAAAACAATAATTGTCTTCTTGAAAAGTATTTATTTCGCAAAAGTACAAATGGAAACGACTCACTTTAGCAAGAATTACAAACAAAATGAATAACATATAAGTTGCTATGATGTGCTCTGCTCCGCAAGTCAAGGCAAGGATTTCTTAAAAAAGTGTGGTCAGCAGATCATGTTTCCATGAGAACAGCGGACTAAAACAAGCACTTTTGTCTACAACCAAAACTACAATATTATTTTTGACTCAAGTTTCACCATTCAAATTTGCGTCTTCTGGATATTCAGTTTATTCTATGAAATAAATAATTTTCTAATCAGTCAACACATCAAAAAAGCCGCATAATTCGCAAAGGAATAAACCAACCTCTGGTTCCTTCATCCTCTGAAGACGCCAATTTGGTTGGGGAAACGTACATCGAAAAAAATATTGCATTTCTGGAGATTATCAAAAGTGCTTCTTTTGGATATCAGAAGCCAAAGTATCAGTCAAATCAAATAAATAAACAATTTTCATATACATATACTTTTTATATTTTTTTTTTCTAACGATGTTGAAACATTTTTCATTCATGAACCGATTGAAATTAATCAAACTCTAAATTATCAGTACACAAAACAAAATACACCCAAATCTATCAAGCTGTTGTTGAGAATAATCATGTATAAACGCACAGACAAACAGACAAAATTCCTAAAATGAATTCATTATTTTTGAGTTCTATTGCGTGTATAGACACCCCCAATGAAATGTTCCTCAAATATCTTTCATATAGATCATTGTATGTACTGATGGGTGATCGATTAAGAAGATGTTGGCGGATACGTGCTGTCAATTGAGAGTTGAGAAGCAAATTCAACTCGAGCAAAACATAACATTGCATTAACTGAGGTCAACTATCTCGGGTCAAATTCGTTATGCTCTAAGAGCGGATGTCACCAAAGATAAAATTGTTTTTTCGACAGCCTGAACTATGGAATCACATTTATCTTCGTTAACACAAATACATCGGAAATTCCGGGGGACCAGACTGATCTAATTTGAATTTTATTTACAAATGTCCGACTAGGAAGGTTAGATTTCATTTCGTATTCATTTCTGCCCACTCGTTAGATCTACCCTATGATTTTGTTGTGAAACATTTTTTTTTGAGTCACCAAAGTTTATTTTTTATGTTTTTCAGTGTTGAAAAATAATATTTGAATCAGGCCTGAATTCATTTCTCATTTTCAAATCAATAGTTCATACATTGAATTTGGAAATAATTGAAAATTGATTCAATTGATGATTCTCGGTTCAGTAATATATTTCATTCATTCCTCACGTATCACATTAATAAAAAAATTAGTATAACTGCTCCCCTGGCTGATACCACGAAGGGCGTTGGATATACTTGCCGAACAGTTTCTATCGCACTTTTAAGTTGCCTTCT